ACCAATTTTTCTGTGCTATCCCATGATGAGCACTTATTTAATTTGGAAAAAAAAATACAAAAGCTTATCCCTTAAACCACTTTTAACTGTGGTGCTCACCACCCTTAAGGCGTTTCCTTAAGGCGTTGCACAGACACCACCACAATCCATCCCCAGCACTTTTTTTTTCTTTTTCATTTTCTTAAACCAAACCTCAGGATCCATTCAACAGTAAGTCTTCCTAAGGCAAGATAGAAAGACAGGGACAATTCTGAGGAATGGCAGGGAAAGGGGCCCCTCCAGAGTCAGGCTGAATTCTCTGAAAATCGAGAATTCCAACAAAACCAACATCTGCTTCAGACCTCTCCCCTTTCTGAGCTACAAACCTGCAATTTCCTAGGAATCTCACCAGAAAGCCCTTTAACAATGGAAGTTCATACCCTAAGCCCCTTGTACAACCCCATCGGCTCCTGATTTTATCTTATTACATTGTGATACCTAACAATGTCATAGCACCCAAGGCAGCTCTGGAGCCATCTTGTAATCTCATTTATCAAAGAAGATAAAAGGTTCTTCTGTATTGAGATGTCTGAGGGGTTAGGATACTCACCACCATTCCTGATGACCTGCATCTGATGCCCAGAGGAGAAAACTAATTCCTGCAAGCTGTACCCTGACCGCCACATATATGCCATGGCACATGTGAGTCAACAGCTAACATACAAACACACACACACACACACACACACACACACACACACACACACATATATATGCTAAATGAATGTAAACTTATATAAAAAAAAACCATTCTCTTAGCAACCATTTGAGACATAACTAGAGAGATACCAAAATAGTACATGTAACTATTGCTAGAACACTTAAGTCTGTGTTTGCCTAGAGGTCAGTGTTGGGTATCTCCCTTTGTACTGTCCACCTATTCTTTTCTTTGTTTTAATTTTTCATGTTTATGAGTGTTTTGCCTACATAAATAGATGTTTGTGCGTCACATGTGTGCCTGATAGAACTAAGGAGACCACAAGAGGGTGTTGGATCCCATGGGACTGGAGTTACAGACAGTTGTGAGCCACAGTCTTGGTGCTGCGAATTGAACCCTGGTCCTCTGGGAGAGCTGCCAGGATTCTTAGACACTGGGCCATCTCTCCAGCCCTTTGTTCACCTTATTTAAAAGATAAGGTCTCTCACTGAGCCGAGTACCTCAGTTTGACTAGGCTGGCTGGCCCATGAGGGATCTTTCTGTCTTTACATCCCCAGAAATGGGGCTGCAGCCACCGCACCTAGCTTTTACATGGCTGCTAGGAATCAGACCCTCACGCTCTTACAGCAGACACTTCACTGGCTGAGCCAGCTCCCCAGCCCTTTCTATTTTTAATAAACTCCAACTCTGCCACATACTGACTTGCCTGGATTCCTTCTGTTCTGAAGTCAAGAATCCCATTTCCCTGAATTGAGGTTCCTAGCAGATTAAGTCCACCCCTTAGGCTGCTGAGGTCGGTAATGTAGAGTTGTGACTCTATTCCTAACACCACTGAGCCCCTACCTCCTCCCCAATCCCTGGCTACCATTGTTTTACTTTTTATTTAATGAACACTGTTACGCTTTGGATATTGTTTTAGCGAGGGTTCTCTAGAGGGACAGAACCCAAAATACATACACACACACACACACACACACACACACACACACACACACACACACA